GATCCAGCGCTGAGTCAGCTCATGTGCTTTTGCCGGGAGAGTCGCTACATGGATCAGTGGGTTCCAGTGATCAACCTCCCCGAGCGGTGACCGTGCCGCCCCGAAAACGAACTCGACCCGATTGCACTGAAGTTTTGCAATACTTTAGCAGTTGCTCAGGAAGTAACTCCCCGCCCTGGCACGAGGAATACGTGGGAAGGGATGGGGGGGAGGAAAGAAAAGAAAAGAAAATTAAAAAAAAAACCCACCAACTAAACAACCAACCAACCAAGAAACCACCACAGCAAATAAAGCCCGAGAAATCAACCAAAAATAAATAAAAGCTAAAAGCAGTGTCAAAAGGGGGGGAGGCTGCAGTTGAACTATGTGTTGTGTGGGGCTGAAGAAGAAGACAAAGTGACTGGGGAGCGCTGGGGATGAGCGTGGAAGCCAAGTGGGAAGAGCAGCACCCACCTCGCTGGAGGAATGAGCCCGGGGTGCCGCGCCGCCGGCTGACTCACACCAAACATCCAACACCCCGCACAGGGTCTGGCTTTTTTTGATTATTATATTATTCTTTTTTAAAGTGCAACTTAACAGTTTCTGGTTTAAAAATACCTTAAAAGAGCAAAAAGGTTAGTGGCAACATTTTACAAACGATTTTATTGTATTTTTGGGATGTTAATTCTCAAGTTTTTATGCTAAGATATATAATAAGTTATTTTATGGTATTGATGAAAAAGAAAATTATTTATACTGGGAGCTTTGAGAACCAGAATGCCCTTAAGCAGTTGGGCTGCAACCACACATCTTCTAACAGTTGGCTGTTCAAAAGCAGCGGCGTTAATCAAACTGTTTGAAATTGGATAGTGTTTTGTTTTTCAGGGTTTTGGGGTTTTTTTTTTTTCTTTGAAATAAAGTTTAAACTCCAACTCTCTGGCCTGGGTTTTTATTTTCTCACCCCTTTCATTAGTGTACAGGCAAAAGGGTTCATTTGGCAGCTGCTTCCTTGTCCTGGCCATGGGCAAGGTCCTGTTGTGCTGGTCCTGGGTGGTTTTATTCCTGGCTCCTCCCAGGCTATTAAATGAAAAAAGCAGCTGCTGTGCTGCAGGAAATGTTGGAAATGTTCTTTTTTTCTTGAATGCTGCCAGTTACCAGCACAGGTAAATTTTTTTTTTTAAAAAAAGGAAGCATTATTTTTGAGGCTTCTGCAGCACCAGAGCCTTCTTGGAAGCTGCGGAAACCCAGTTCCATGGAGGAAGAAAATGTGCCCTGATGTTTCCTCATCGTAGATTCTTCTGCACCATCGATGGCTGCAAATCCCCCCGGGTTTGTTCCCTGTACCCCCAGGGTTTGGGGGTTTCTAGGTGCCAGGCTCCTCTTTCCATTCCACATTGCACAGAGCAGGGTGTCACTTTGTCCCCAGCCCCGGCAGGATCGGTGCCTCCGGCGAGGCCAGACCAGTTCTCCCGCTCGCCGGACGCGCGGCGCGGCACGCTCTGGCACGAGGCCGCCTGTCCCATCCCATGTGGGGCTGTCAGGCCACGTCACCGGCCTCGTGCCACGGCTGGCGTGTAGCTCAGGAACTGGCAGGACCCC